GAGCAGTCAGTGGTGGTAGCCGGGCACCATCTAGCTGTACTGGACTCAGTCTGGTGGAGGCCTTGGTAGCTGTGGTCCATTAGTTCTTTGGACTAATCTTTTCTTTGTATCCTGTTTTCTTCATTCTCCCTTGCTCCCAAAGGGGTGAGACCAGTGGAGTACCTTAGATGGCTGCTCACAGGCTTTTAAGACCCCAGACACTACTCACTAAGGTAGAATGTAGAACATTGTCTTTATAAACTGTGTTATGCCAATTGAGCTAGATGTTCCCTGAGACCATGGTCCCCACAGCTCTCCACCCAGCAATTCATTCCCTCAGGGAGTTTGGCTGTGTCTATGGAGCTTCCATGATTTTCCTTGTACCAGTTGTGCTGCCTGAAAGGTCACAGCTTTGAAAACCCTATGGAACAGTTCTACTCTGCACACATGGGGTTGCTATGAGTCATAATTGACTCAACGGCAACTAACAACAACAACATACTTAAGCTATACAGATCTCTGTCAACTATCCAGTAACCCCAACTACCAACTGGGATGACAAGAGCAAACCTAGCCCTGGGGGGCAAAGGCAGAATCAAGGTAGGAGGACTAGTCACTCCTTAAACTCATGAAACTTTCCAGGTCCACTACTAACCAGGTATTCAGAGGTGAGTACCAGGTACAAGGTGTACAGGGGCTCTAAACTTGAAATTCCCATAACCTGTATGTGAATTCTTTGATCTTAGATGTTCACAAATACGGAACTGTCATAAGAACAGTTTCCTTGTTTTTAGCTTTCTCAAAGTAGGGGTCACAGGGTTAATTTTATAATATAAAAAATTCTATATTTACCTATTAGTTCTTGACTCTACGCAAGAAAAGTATTTCTTAATGGACAAAACTGGTTTTAAAACAAAATTAAAGAAACAAAGAAGACTTAAAAATAAGTCAACAGAAGTAAGATGGCAGAGTTAGGAGAAGATGGACACCTTATTTGAAACTCCAGCTCTGTCACTTACTAGCCGTGTGATCTTGGACAAGTTATTTTACCTCCTTCTCAGCCTCAGTTTCCTCATCTACAAAATGGGAATCTTATCACCTATCTAACAGAGTTATAGTGAGGATTAAATAGGGTTATAACATATATTATGATGCCTGGTGGATTAAGTCCTCAATGATATGCTAATTTCCATCACTTTCAAAAAAAAATTAAGCAATTCTCCTTCCATGTATATTATAAACCAATTTCTTCAGATACTCATACTTTTTCAGATTGTTCTTCTTCAGAAGAAAAAGTAAAGATCTTGGACTTCATAAATATTTTACCTTGATGAACCTTGTTTTACAGGAGGTAAAGTGCTTGAGTTTTTACTTTTATTTTAAAGACTTAGTTTTGTGTGTTGTTTAAAATTTCCTTGTAAGTCATTTAAATATTGATTTTAAGTTTTTGTTAACCTAGCTTATAGTTATCTTCTGTTAGACTTCTGATGCTAACTTCTTACATTTCAATCATTTACAGTCTTTGTTGACTGTATTCTTTTAACCATCTTATCTCCCAGTTGTTATTATATTAACTTTATATTTTCTTAAAATGTAAATTTTTTCTTACTTATGGATTATTCTTTAATCAACAATATACAATACCAGTAAAGCAGCCAGATAATTAAACCTCAAACTACAGCAATAACTCAGTTATTGCTAAAAAGTTTAGTTATAAGGGATAATAATCATAAAAATGACTGGATATGTAGTCTTGAATATCCACTCTTCTAAATGGTTTGAATATTATCACTAGATCAAGCCAGACTCCCAGGGACCTTGGACTATACCGTTTTGATACTCATTGCTTTAAACCACGGTCTCTCAACCTTAGCACAGTGACATTCTGGGCCGAAAAATTCTTTGTTTTGGAGGCCATCCTGTGCATTGTGTGATGTTTAGCAGCATCCCCAGCCTCCACCTACTAGATGCCAATAGCATGCACCCTCCTCCCAGTTGTGACAACGAAAATGTCTCTAGCTATTGCCCCAGGGAGCAAAATCGTCCCCAGTTGAGAAGCAATGCCATAAACTGAACTGGACCCTAGAGTTTTGAAGTTAATTTACATTGAGGGATCCTTTAAAAAATAGTCATACGAAGGAACAGTATTGAGGATATCATATACTATATTACTCTTTATTTTCCATTATGAGGGCCCATAGGAGAAATTCGTCTCAGACTTCAGTGCAAATGGGATGTTGTTTTCCTATGGATAGTGTGAATCTTAACTAATCATATTTTCACCTTTTCTTTGACTGCCAGAAAGCTCAAAGGCAAATCTGACAAAGATGTAAGACCTACAGCATGCGGTTATGTGTACTAATTCTCCCCAATGTCAGTTTAATTCATTTGTTTTTATCATGAACTTTTAAACTTTATTTCTTTATCGTACCATAATACATGTATTTCTGCATGTGGACAGAAGTTCTTTTTTGAATGAAGTATAAATTAGTAAATAAACTAGGTTTCTAAACTGTAATTTTCCACAGAAGACCACACCTTTTAGTCCCACTTTATCATTCCTCTCAAAATCTCCTGCTAGACCTAGATCTTCTAGTTTTCCCTTACAAATGTTTAAGTCTACTTTCTCTAGTCAAAGTACATAACTAAATCCGTTCACTTTAGAGAGTTTGGGGCTCAGAGGTACAAGGCTTTCCTACATCAGATATATAATAATCTGGATAATGTTTATAATTACATCCTCCAATATTTATTGGAAGTATGTGGGATTCTATATGCTGCATGTCCAGTAGACTGTCCAGGCAGCAGTATATCATTCTGCAGGATGATGGGAGGATAGCAGACCCATATCTTCTTTTCTTTTGTTGATGCTAGTTTTGTAAGTTCTCCCTTTCCCTAGTAAAGCTATTTCTAACCCATGCCAAGTCACATTTGGAAGTCACCCTGAACACTGGTGCATGACAGATGGTGATACAGAAGTGGCCCATCTTGCACAACAGTGATAACTACGAGGGACCTAACTGGCCCTACACGCTAAGATTATTTTTGATCATGCTGAAAGAAATCATTTTCCTCTCATTTTAACGCATTCTAAGACCTCAAATCAGATTAGCAAGACGTGGGTATTACACAGATCCATCAACAGGTGTCAGTATGAGTCGGAATTGACTCATCGGCAACAGGTTTGGATTTTGGTTATCAACAGGTGAGTGGATAAACAAATGTGGTATGTTCATACAAAGGAAAACTACTCAGTAAAAAAAAAAAAAAAAAAAGATGGTAATATGAGTACCCACACATACAATATGGTGCATCTCAAAAATATTATGCCAAGCAAATGACACAAAAGAGTACATACTGTATTATTTCATTTATAAGAAATTCTAAAAGAGGCAGAAAACTAATCCATAGTGACAGAAATTAGATTAGTGACTGGCTAGTGCTGATGGAGTGCTGGCAGCAAAGAGGCATAACGGACGTTATGGAATGATAGAACGGTTATTTTTGATATCATAATCGATTGGGATGATGGTTTCACAGGTTATGCATTTATCAAAACTCACCAAACTACACTAAAATTGGATGCAAATGTGGTATTGCTAAAAATTCATAACCTCGAACTAGTGGTGAGAAAACATGAGACAAAGCCAAATTAAGAGACATTCTATAAAATAACTGACTAGTAATCTTCAAAAGTGTCAGGGTCATCAAATATAAGAAAAGACTGAGGAACTGTCACAGACTGGAGGAGACTAAGGGGACATGACAACGAAATGCAATGTGGGATCTTGGAACAGAAAAAGGACATTAGTAGAAAAACCGGTAAAGTCCAAATAAAGCCTGCAATTTAGATACTAGTATTGTACCAATGTTAATTTCTTAGTTTTGCTGATTGTACTATAGTTATGTGAATTTTTAACATCAGGGAAAGCTGAATGAAGGGTGTATGGAAACTCTGTACTATTTTTGCAACTTTTTTTAAGTTTAAATTATTTAGAAATAAAAAGTTTTAAAAATAGGTACAACTCGTTGTGTGTAGTTATTGCCTTAATTAGAGTTGATTTAAAAGCTAAAAATTAAAGCAAAAATACATGAGAATTATTAAGAAGTAGCTCTATCCCTAAGAAGCCCTAGTGGCACAGTGGTTAAGCGCTTGGCTACTAACCTAAAGGTCAAAGGTTTGAATCCAATAGTGCCTCTGTGAAAAAAAAGACCTGGCGATCTGCTCCCATAAAGATAACAGCCTAGGAAACACTATGGGGCAGGTCTACTCTTTCCTATGAGGTGGAATCAACTCGACGGACACACAGCAACAACAACAACTCAATAAATCCAGTGAGGAAACACATAGCATTCTTTACTGAAATAATCATTAAATTTAGAAAGGCAATTAATTGAAATAAGAATCTCAAAATTTCCTCAGAATCATAATAATATACCCCTCACATAAATGCAAACAGATAATTTAACAGTAAAAGTGTTACACATTCAAACAGAGATAATGAGACAATGAAATTCATAAAATTTTGAAGTCTACAGTGTAAAATATTTCATATCTGACTATTACACCTAAGAACAGTTACATATTTGGAGTTCAAAAACTTTATTATCTCATTTAATATTAACGAAGGAACAGAAAGCTATGAGTAGAAAAACATTCAAAGAAAAATTAAAAATTTTACAGCATACCTCCTCTGTTTCCATTCTCTTCATCCTACAAAGTAAATATACATATATATGAATACATATTAATAAAGTCTGATCAAATCACAGCAAGGCTCAATTCACTTCAAACTGCCCTTCCAAAATGTGCCAATTTACACTCTAACAGTGCCTTCTGCCCACACTTTTGCTCACGATGGTTGTTAAAAATTTTCTAAATCTTTGGTACTTTAATAGGCAAAAAACAGCATTCCATAATTTTACACTTATTTAATTACTGGTCATGTTTAGCAGTTTATCCTGTATTTTCTAGCCATCTGTATTTCTTCTTTTGTGAATTATCCATTCATGATCTTTCCCTTACTTATTTGTAAACATTGTATGTATGAACGTTAATCCTTTACCACAAATGTTTGAATTATTTTCCCAGGTCACTGTTCATCACTTGATTCACAGTGTTTTTGTTTAGGTAGTCATATTTATCAATCTTTTCATCATTTGTGGCTTTGCATACTCTACCAAGCTTACAAAATCTTCCTCCTCTCACCAACACTGTAAAAATATCCACTTATATTTTCTTTTAGCACTTTTATGAAATATGCATACTTTTAATCTATCTGAAATTAATTTTAGTGGAAGAAATAAGGCAAGGATCCTACTAAGTTTTTTTCTCCCAACAAATGGTTAGCCAAATGTCCCAACACCATTTGTAATCTATCCTTTTTTTACTGATATGAAATATCACCTTTACTGTATACTAAATAATATGGGATGTTATACAAATGAATTTCACATATAAGTGAAATTTACCCTTTTACCTGTCAAAATTTATTCACTTCTACTCATTTGATGAAAATTGTCTATGGTATACTACACATTTCCTTCCCTCCTTGAACTCTAATGAATGTATTTTAAGTTTTTCTTACTAGCTCCGAGTCATTCATTCATTGACCAAATACTGTGTGTCAGCTGCTTGGGATCCATCAATGAGCAAAACAAAGATCTCTGCTCTTGTGGAGCTTACTGTATAGTGGAAGAGGTAGGCAACAAATAGTAAAAATTATGTAAAAGTAAAATACATGGCATATTAGAAGGAGATAAGTACCATAGAAAAAAGAAAAAGTAGAGCAGGGTAAGGGGGGTTGGGAGTGCTTGGAGGGGAGGTGTTGCAGCACTAAAACAGGCAGCCAGTGTAGCCTTATTGTGAAATTGCCATTTTAAGACTTGAAAAAGATGAGGGAGCTAGACATATAGCTATCAGGAGGAAGAAAACTATAGGAGCAGCTAGAGCAAAGACCCTAATGCAAGCCTACGCTAGACATGTTCCAGGAACAGCAAGGAGGTCAGTGTAACAGAATCCAAAGAGTGAAAGGGAGATTAGCAGGAGATGGGTTAGAGAGGTAATGGTGGGGAGTAGGTCATATAAGACCTGTATTCTGGGTGAAATGAGGAACTTGTGCAAGGATTTAGGCAGTGTGACATGATTTATGTTTTAGTAGAAGCACTCTCCCCCATCTGTCAGTTTGTTGTACTATGGGGGCTTTCGTGTTGCTGTGATGCTGGAAGCTATGTCACCGGTATTCAGATACCAGCAGGGTCACCCATGGTGGACAGGTTTCAGCTGAGCTTCCAGACTAAGACAGACTAGGAAGAAGGACCCAGCGATCTACTTCTGAAAAGAATTAGCCAGTGAAAACCTTACGAATAGCAGCAGAACACTGTCAGACACAGTGCCGGAAGATGAGCCACTCAGGTTGGAAGGCACTCAAAATACCAGCGGGCGAGAGCTGCCTCCTCAAAGAAGAGTTAACCTTAATGACGTGGATGGAATCAAGCTTTTGGAATCTTCATGTGCTGATGTAGCATGACTCAAAATGAGAAAAAAAAAAAGCTGCAAACATATATTAATAATTGGAACGTGGAATGTATGAAGTATGAATCTAGGAAAATTGGAAATTGTTAAAAATGAAATAGAATGCATAAACATGAATATCCTAGGCATCAGTGAGCTGAAGTGGACTGGTATTGGCCATTCTGAATCGGACAACCATATGGTCTATTATGCTGGGAATGAAAACTTGCAGAGGAATGGCGTTGCATTCATTTTCAAAAAGAACATTTCAAGATCTATCCTGAAGTACAATGCTGTCAGTGATAAGATAATATCCATACGTCTCTAAGAAACACCAATTAATGTGACTATTATTCAAATTTACGCACCAACCACTAAGGCCAAAGATGAAGAAATTGAAGATTTTTATCAGCTTCTGCAGTCTGAAATTGATCGAACATGCAATCAGAATGCATGGATAATTACTGGTGATTGGAATGCAAAAGTTAGAAAGAAAGAAGAAGGATCGGTAGTTGGAAAATATGGCCTTGGTAATAGAAACGATGCCAGAGATCGCATGATAGAATTTTGCAAGATCGACGACTTCTTCATTGCAAAGACCTGTTTTCACTAACATAAATGGTGATTATACACGTGGACCTCACCAGATGGAATACACAGAAATCAAATCGACTACATTTGTGGAAAGAGAGGATGGAAAAGCTCAGTATCATCAGTCAGAACAAGGCCAGGGACTGACTGTGGAACAGACCTTCAGTTGCTCATATGCAAGTTCAAGCTGAAACTGAAGAAAATTAGAACAAGTCAACGAGGGCCAAAGTATGACCCTAAGTATATCCCACCTGAATTGAGGGACCATCTCAAGAATAGATTTGACACGTTGAACACTAATGACTGAAGACCAGGTGAGTTGTGGAATGACATCAAGGGTATCATACATGAAGAAAGCAAGAGGTCATTAATAAGACAGGAAAGAAAGAAAAGACCAAAATGGATGTCAGAAGAGACACCGAAACTTGCTCTTGAATATCGAGTAGCTAAAGCAAAAGGAAGAAATGATGAAGTAAAAGAACTGAACAGAAGATTTCAAAGGGTGGCTTGAGAAGACAAAGTAAAGTATTATAATGTCACATGCAAAGAGCTGGAGATAGAAAACCAAAAGGGAAGAACACACTTGGCATTCCTCAAGCTGAAAGAACTGAAGAAAAAATTCAAGCCTCAAGTTGCAATAGTGAAGGATTCTATTGGGAAAACATTAAATGATGCAGGAAGCATCAAAAGAAGATGGAAGGAATACACAGAGTCATTATACCAGAAAGAATTGGTCAACATTCAACCATTTCAATAGGTAGCATAGGATCAGGAACCGATAATACTGAAGGAAGAAGTCCAAGCTGCACTGAAGGCATTGGCAAAAAACAAGGCTCCAGGAATTGACGGAATATCAACTGAGATGTTTCAACAAACCGATGCAGCACTGGAAATGCTCACTCATCTATGCCAAGAAATTTGGAAGACAGCTATCTGGCCAACCAACTGGAAGAGATCCATATTTATGCCTATTCCCAAGAAAGGTGATCCAACCAAATGCAGAAATTATTGAACAATATCATTAATATCACACACAAGTAAAATTTTGCTGAAGATCATTCAAAAGCGGCTGCAGCAGTATGTCGACAGGGAACTGCCAGAAATTCAGGCCAGATTCAGAAGAGGACGTGGAACGAGGGATATCATTGCTGATGTCAGATGGATCCCGGCTGAAAGCAGAGAATACCAGAAAGATGTTTACCTGTATTTTATTGACCATGAAAAGGCATTTGACTGTGTGGGTCATAACAAATTATGGATAACATTGTGAAGGATGGGAATTGCAGAACACTTAATTGTGCTCATGAGGAACCTGTACATAGATCAAGAGGCAGTTGTTCAGAAAGAACCAGGGGATACTGTGTGGTTTAAAGTCAGGAAAGGTGTGCGTCAGGGTTGCATCTTTCACCATACCTATTCGATCTGTATGCTGAGCATTATAAACTGAGAAGCTGGATTATATGAAAAAGAACCGGGCATCAGGATTGGAGGAAGACTCATTAACAACCTGCATTATGCAGATGACACAACCTTGCTTGCTGAAAGTGAAGAGGACTTGAAGCACTTACTGCTAAAGATCTAAGACCACAGCCTTCAGTATGGATTACACTTCAATATAAAGAAAACAAAAATCCTCACAACTGGACCAATAAGCAACATCATGATAAACGGAGGACAGACTGAAGTTGTCAAGGATTTCGTTTTACTTGGATCCACAATCAACACCCATGGAAGTAGTAGTCAAGAAGTCAAAAGATGTGCTGCACTGGGCAAATCTGCCACAAAGGGCCTCTTTAAAGTGTTGAAAAGCAAAGATGTCACCTTGAAGACTAAGGTGCGCCTGACCCAAGCCATGGTATTTTCAATGGCATATGCATGGGAAAGTTGGACAATGAATAAGAAAGACTGAAGAAGAACTGACACCTTTGAATTGTGATACTGGTGAAGAATAACGAATATACCATGGACTGCCAAAGAACAAACAAATCTGTCTTGGAAGAAGTACAGCCAGAATGCTCCTTAGAAGTAAGGATGATGAGATTACGTCTTACATACTTTGGACATGTCAGGAGGGATCAGTCCCTGGAGAAGGACATCATGCTTGGTAAAGTAGAGGGTCAGCGAAAAAGAGGAAGACCCTCAACGAGATGGATTGACAC